TTACTTGAAACCCAGTTATAATGGTATGGTATAAATAAAAGAAATAGCATAGCTACCTTGCCCAACGCATTAGCATAACCATACAAAAGAGGAACGCTGCCAGCATCTTGGGCACCTTGCCGCGGGGACCCAATTATATTCATGTAATTTAAAACTCCTAGTTTTACTTTCTAGTATTTAAGCTTTCATTGTACCATACCTGTATATTATAAAAATAAAAAGTAACAAATTAAAAATTGAATGATGGCTGATAAAAAAATGTATAAATAAATAAGAAAAAAAAAGGAACTATCTTATCTAATCTACATAAACAGACGGGCGACATTTCTGCTTTGGATGGCCAAGTTCATTCTTCACTTAAAGTATCTGTCAACCTTCTGATCACCTAAAGCTTCAATGATCATTAACGTGGAAATAGACTCCCAAGGTCTCAACTGCAACAGGTTTAAAGCAGCAGCAGTGGCACAGGTTGGTGTAGATATCTGTCTTGCAGGAGGTACTCGAATGTTTTAGTTATCGTCGTTGTTTTCTTACCTTTCCACATCTTCCAACTCTAATTTGAGAATGTGGATTTATGTGCAGTCATCAGCACATCATCAGGAAGCTATGGATTTTGGACCACATTACGCCACATGTCGCCAACAAGTGTAATGCGTGTAAATTAGTTACCTAGGTGTTTAATTTTTATATTATATTCCGTGTTAGTCTTATGTCATAGTTGCCAGATTTAAATAAACTTTCTTTTTGGATGGATCTTATCACAAACGTTAAAACCATGGAACTAAATCCAAACTCATGATAACACGATTTCGTTTAACTAAGGTAAAATATTATTTTATGGGGAACTGTATATGTTTTTATAATAAGATTCCGGAGCATATATATTAGATTATCAGATCTATTTGCAAAGTTTTATTGCAACCGGTTAACGGAAAGCGGGTGAAAACCAATAACCCTGATTTATCACCTAATTTAACTACTAAATATCTTTTTACAAAAAAAAAAGTATCATCGAAATCGATTCACATATGTCAGAGTAAACGCACAAAAAATCAGTAGATTAGAGAACCTCCTACTTTTTTAATCAGTTAAAAAAATGGGTTTAAATAAAACTATTTATAGAAAGAATAACAGTATAATTCCAAAAATATTACATAATATTACTTAAAAAACATAACAATTTATAAAAAAAAAATTTGTGTAGGTTCACGAGTAATTTAAGTTATATATTTAGAGAATATTTTTATGAAACTAAACCTAGAATAGCTATCAATCAATCATCTCCATCAACATTGCACATTTCCAAATATGAAGATAAAGTAAATCCTAAAAAAACATTTCGAAGAAAGTCCAAAGCGTGAAACACAGGTCGGGAGCGGGGCGGGTCTAATTCCTTGTATTTATATGGACGACAACATATCAAAAGCGGGCGCGACACGGGCGGACCTCTGACATTGAACACAATTTCAAAATCAATAAAAAAATATTTTTAATTCGTTTTTTAAACTTAACTCTATTGTATATACGATTATTCTGCTGTCAAACACGTCTAACTGCGACGGGTCTTTCGAGAACGGGTTCGATTCTTGGTTTCAGAAAAATGTATGTAAATTTTCAGCCAGACCGGAACACTTTAATGTATCGCCATAGATTTAGTATGGATATACTAAATCTATGTGTATCGCCATTTTGGAACCGCCATCTTGAAAACTTTGTTTTGCATAACAACATTGAAATAATTTAGATAGAGGAAAATGTATTTTCGTTCGCAGAAGTACTTTATATCAATAATTTTTAGGTTGAACCTAATCTATATTAATTTGATACCATTAAGTCCTATGACATCATCGATTCTATACAAGAAACCTAGAGCAGCAGTGACGTCGCAAAGCACAAACTTTAAATGAAGGTAATAAAAACTATAAAATGAAAGAAATAAATCAAGCGTTCATTGAAATTTTAATAAAAAATAGAATGTATGCGAATTTCAACTACAAGTAGAATCTATATGTAACTTTTTCAGTCTATGACAACCAGAGGGTAGAATATATTTACCAAAACTTCAAGGAAATTATACACATAGAGTGGACGGATAGGCGTGTGGCTTACCATCAGGCGCACGACTAATTCGTCCCGTCACTTGATAATGTAAAAAACCCTCTCTGAAATACCGGTATTATTGTATTGTATTTTGACCAAAATTTTTAATATGTAACTCGTTATTACCACACTACGATAGCGTATTTAGAAGAAAAATATAAATATAATAATTTTTATTTTTTGCCTCTTATTTTTAATCATTCCGGGCTTGGATCCACGCTATGTGATATTCGGAGCAGGGTTCGCAATTTTATTATCAAAATATTTGTTTTCTTTGATAATTACTATCATAATTATCTGATAATTATCCATGCCGATTTAATCAGTCTGTGGCAAACTGTGAGAAAACTAAACAACACGAAGATAAATCTTTGGGAAAACGATTTGGCTCCAAAGTTTTTCTTTTAAATTGACATTTGACACGTTTGGATACGTCTCTTTTACAAACACACGGCACGACATTGCCAGCAGTAGCATTCTGTTGTTCCAATTAATATTATAAGGACCATTATTATTAAGGTATATTTATCAAGATAATTATAGTGACAATTATCAGTTTGAATCCTGATTTGAAGTTTAGGTAAACATCTTTTGGCTATTCCGAACTCTGATAATAATAAATAAGGTTATATATATAATATCAATTTAAAATCACATAAAGTATTTACAATGTTCGTCAAAGCACCATGATATTACAATGAAAACATTAAATTTACACCAAGTATCAACTACTTATATATTAGGCTCAGTAACATTTTACAAATAATTTTGGAGTATAACAATATTTAGTAATTGATGTTAAGAAAATTTTTAACAAAATCTTTTTTAAAGAATAGAGCAGCCATTTTTAAGACAAAAATTTATAGACATCCCATACAATCCTTATTCTACACTCACATGGGTAAGCAATTTTTTAAATGTTAATAAGTACGGAGAATGCAAGTTTTTTCTTGAATATAAGCAGATTAATTCTACATAAGTAATATGCCTATATCGGCTAAACATACTGATCTAACTAAAAAAATGGGCCACCAATTTAACAAAATATTTTAAAGGATTTTTAAAATAGCCGTATTTGCAATTTAAGTTTTCAAACTTCATTTAAACAAACGGGAAGTTTACTATTTTTATGTTGGTAATATGTACGTTACAGTCCAAGCTTCGGAGCTATTCGGGTTTCACGGAAAGTTGACGTTTGCATTGTGAATTTACTTCATTTTTTTGCTACTTTAATGAAAAGTACCTGTTGCAGTCAAGAAATAAGGTCGATTTTCCGTTTAAAGCAACGTAGTGACCAAGTAACGTACTGACAAAGTAACGTAGTGACAAAGTAACGTACTGACAAAGTAACGTAGTGACAAAGTAACGTAGTGAAGTCAAAGATGATGATGGAAAAAAACAAAGGCAAAGAGCTGCCGTACCTGCAGGATGAATATGCATACATAAAAAAATTGAACAAAGCAAATGGCAGATTTCTTTAGCGTTGTACGTGCCATAATCTATCGATATGTCATTATCAACATGCAAGTGTATGGCTTGAATATTGAAAAATGTTTTTATTTTTTTATTTTACTGTAATTAAAGTATGATTATAATGTTTAAGTAGATAAACGTTTAATGTTTTGTAAAGGAATATAAAATTATTATCATTATAGATCGATATTCCATTTGGGAATATGTTATGTCATATGGGAATATCGGGGAATGTCATTGACTTACACTTATATGGACGTCGGGTCCGCGCTAAAAAGTGTCCGAAACGTTAAAATCGTATACAGAGCGTCATTCACGCTTTAGTCTTCGTTTGTTCGACTGACAGCGAAGCAAGCAAAATTAGACAGTACTGCGATGACATTACAATTTAAATTCAACGTTTTAGCTTTTTCATATTCCTTTACATGTCACTACGTTTAAATAGGTTGACTTGGGACATTTTTTTCGTGATTTTTGTATTAGACCCGTCGTCCATTTATTTGTAAGTCAATGGGGAATGTCATATGAGATTTCGATGCCTTACTTTCTCAAACTCGTATCTTATAAAGGGAATCTTAAATTTCTTATCAAGGGTGTTGATTTGGATGCATTACTTTAAGAATAGACAAAAGCCAGTGTGTGAATTGTGACGTGAATCAGCCTGCAAAATTTGTATATACAATCCATTTTTTGCATTTCAGTAACTTTGTGCTTTAAGATACGAGTTTGGGAAAAAAGGCGACGATTTTGAATTTATTATTTTTCATTTATAAAATGCTCAAGTATTACGCAAAGTGAATTTACACGAAAAAATGTAATTTGAGAAGAGACATTTTTGTAATACAAATCTGGAGTCGGGGATAGTGCAATTACGAGTAACTAGCACTGGATTATGAGTTACTATTTTGATAATTTAGTGGCCAATCTGCGTATATCAAATCTGCGTAAATATCGTGGCAACCAAATTAATGTGATTTAAGAGATTCTATTGCTATCAGTCGGTAGGCAACATTAATTAATGGTTACTGTGCAAAAATTATATTCGTAGCTAAAAGCTATTTAAATAACGAAAGTAATAACGTTAAATCCCCCTCTTGTAAACTATGGTTTAGTGTAGACACGCGCCTTTGCACTATCCCCGACGATTTCCAACCTCAAGATTGATATTATTGGAAGTTAATTATCTTGTAATCTAGTTAATTCTAGTTACATACAGTTACATACAAAGTTCTTTTAAAATTTGACTCTGCATAATGAAACAAACAAATGAAGATGGTCTTTGATCCAATGTTTACATTCGGCAGTACTATGAATTCCAACTATGCTTTCTTTCTTTTTTCATTTGTAGGTAAACTTAAAATAATAAAAATAATAATGTTAAAATAATAAAATCCTCCTAGTGAATTGTTTTAATAACAGAAAATTAATAATATGTATGCCTACAAGAACAACGCTGTCTCAAAATAATCGTTAACAACAATCATCAAAATATACAAAAGTAATCAAAGCAAAATTTGGCAAATTTTTGAATAAACTACTTAAATAAGTCTATGAGATAAACATGAGATATTTCGGCTTTTGTGTGATTATTTAAAGAAAAATGTATTATTCCATGGCGGTGCAATGTAACATTCGGTTGATTTTTGCTTTTTCTAATGCCATCAATCCCTGAATGCTGCAGCGACGCATTTTTATTAATACCTAATTGTTCTCACTGTCAATATTTTGGTCCATTTTATAACAATTCATGCAAGTAATTCTTCTTCTTTTTTTTGCTTAATGGGCCTTTAGATTTCGCCAGTATCGAGATTTCCGCTTAGTAATTTTAAGGACTTCTGTAGACTCTGCTATTCAATGAGTATTGTGAGAGCACAATGTGATATAATAAATCCTTTCTTATTAGGTTTTAAAGTTGCAGAGCTGTTGAATTACCAATACAATTAACAACACTCATAAACTACTTAAATAGACACACTAAAAAATAAGTCAACAGGAAATGTATATGTAAATATGAAATAAAGAAATTAGCCAAAAAACGCACTAATTCACAGAACACCTTGTAGCTAACACTCAACCTAACAGCAGAGTCTTAGCCAATATCGCAAGCCTGCGAGTAATTCACACTTGACGAAACAGTAGTTTTGACATTTGATGTAAGTACATGAAATGTCAAAAGTAAGGGAAGTCCCTTTGATAACCGTATCTGTACTCTATTAATGGCGAAATGGACACAGTTGGCATTTAAGATGACGTTACGTATTTTAAATTCCCATGTTTGGCACAGACCAATGTACTATCTCTTTAAGCTTACGACGACGTACACGTAGTAGTTGAGACAATGCCAGGCAATGTGACAAGTCCTTTAGTTTCCAAAGTCTTTATATTGAAATTGGTTAACAATCGTCAACTTCCGTAAAACATTAATAGCTCCGAAGCTTGGAATTAAAAATAAAATTATTGTTATATATTAGTATAATAGTATTTTTAGGCGTACACACGCAACGAAATCGAGATCAGTAAATGCCTAATTTACAAAAGTTTTATTAAATAAAAAGATGGTAGTGACCCGTTTTCTTTGCTCGTCAGTGTATAAAATATCAAACGCAAATATTAAAAATAATAAAAACTGTGTTGCAAAAAGATGTAGTGAAAATATATTATAAACTGAATATTTTTGAGGTCAAATCTAACATAGCGGTTTTTAGGCGAATGTATACCAGTATCGTTCTTGCGAGCCATACGCACTGAATATTTTTGAGGGCAGAATAACAACAGCATTCTTAGGCGAGCATGTACCAACTGTCTACCTTTATACTATCCAACAGTAGGGTTAGCACGACTGGGCGCGACATGCGCGAGAGCGACATAAACCGCTGGATCTCTTGGATATCTCGCATAGGGCTTACAACTGGTCACAAGGATAAAAGATTGACCGTTATACAAGGTGATAAACCGTTACTGGTGACCGTTATTCAAGGAGCGTACTCTATAATGGACATAAAAAATACATGTTCGGTTTTTCTTTTTTCAAATACTTAACAAGTAAATAAGTTATGACGTCTCAAAGTCATCCGAAAAATTGTGAACAATATTGACACTTGTTGCTATAGCAACAACAACGGGCAGTGGGTGGAGTCAGCACGCGAGTTTATGTATTTGATAGACAACAACAAAGTACTAAACTCACCCCCACCGCGTACGTAGGACCCGTCGGCCAAGGGAAGTCCTCAACGACCCTGACGACCCTATCACTATCAGGCCAAGCAGATCGCTAACCAGTCCATCTCCTCACGCACCAACCGTCCTCGCCGGCGAGGTCGTAGAGCCCCTAATCTCAGCACGTACACTGGTAGATTCTCTCCTATAGCACGTCCTACTGGCTCAAGTTTTCAGTAACGCCCTGAGCTGAGGTCTGTGCCCACTTGGGCGCCCTCAGGCCCGCTAATTAGTTTTAAGTTTATTTTAGGGGTTATGAACCTTCAGATCGCCTTTTTTCCGGTGGCGCATTCAAGGCCATCAGCGGCCAATTGCAAAATAAACTTCAGAGAAAAAAATTTTAGTACATTTTTTTTACTAACGCTAACGATGCATTAGCGCAGATGTGTCGTCCCGCATCTAGACAACTCGGCGCCGATCGTTCAATTTTATTTACTATTTTGAGATAATGACGCGTTAGAAATTATTGGGGAATATAACATCAAAAAAAATGGGTGATTTTTTGTTTTATTTCACGTATGTGTTCCATTACTGAAACTTACGCATAGGAAAAAAAAATAGTCAGCGTTTTTTTGTTTTTGTATGTCTCTTATTTCGATAAGAAAATCAAAACGACTCACTACATCTTATTACAAAACCTCCTTCACCATATGAAGTAAAAATAAGTATAAAATAATGTTAAAAATGAAAAAAAATTACAAAATCCCTGCTAGCTGTATTTCAAAATTTTTATTTGCAAATGAAATTGAAAAACGAGTAAGATCTTGATGTTAAGTGCAGTTCAAACTTCATGCACAGACCTCACATTTTTCAATTTCAATCGCATTGTTCGATACATCACTGGAACAGTGGACATACCAGAAGTGGGCATATCCAGAAGTCGACATATATAATTTAAAATAGCAAACCTTTTGTAATTGTGGACATAGGTCACTGAAAAACACTGGAAATTGTTTTTTAAAATCAATAACTTGGGGGTTATATGTACTCCATTATGTCCTGTATTACTGAAGTGTAGACCCATTCGATACTTTTGTTTTATTATCAATTTGTACATTCTTTAATACTTCATTGTATACCAAATAAAGAGATTTTGATTTAATGTTTACGTTTTGCTATTTTTATTTGTTTTAGACAGCCCTATGGATTGCATTGTCTAAGGGCCTTTACTTGGCTTAATCCGGCCCTACTTTCAAAAGGTCAATTTTTAATTAATTTTCTGAAACTTTTCGTTACAATACCATTTATCACCTTATTTTTTTAAGTAATCGATTAACTCTCTAAACACCTTTACGTGGGCCTTAGTTTAAATAAGTAAATTATTCTCGAAACGAAGTTATTCTCTTTTCGCTATACATATATATAATCGGACATTGGACTCTGTTCTTCGGATGAGTCGAATTGTTTCAGAAGGATATCGGATGAAGAACGAGAGTACAGAGTCTGATCTTTAGGTTGCTACCAGTGTTGCCAGATAGTAATATTTCTTAATTTTTTCGTAAATTTTGATATAACTTTTAATGTAATTTTCGTAATGAGTTTTTTTTTAATTCAACCATTTTAATTCAAACAAAATCAAATCAACCAATTAGTTGTTACAACTTTACTTTTCTTGAGCGTACGTATTTTTTTAGGATTTAGGCGTATAGTATACATATAGTTTACATTTAGAATTTTTTGTTACAAAAACTAAAACATTTCAGGTAACAAAACGTAATTTTCGAATCGAGGGCCTTGGCTAGCTGCTACATTCTCAAGTTCTAAACGTATAATGATAAAATAGTGACCACCAAAACAAAAAGTTTCCTTAAAAAAAATGCAATGGTAATTGTATCCACGACACTCGATTACCAGGGAACCAATGCATTATTTTATAGATAAATTGAGGCTCGCATTTGTTTAAGGGTTCACAAAATGGATTAAAGATAACTCGAACATACATATCAATGACATAACGTCTCCCTTTCTAACATCTCGAATAGAAAACTTGATTGTTAATACATTGATTTAAACTGTCACGATTTTCACACACTATTTAATTTTAAAATCGGGACTTAATTGAGTATAAAATATATTTTATTTACTTCGACGCTTCGGACGTGTTGAAACGTCCATGGTTTCGAAGGGACAGTCCCACCGAGACTACATGAGTACAGTAAAATATGTGAGACAAGTAAAGTTCATGGTCTTGAAGGGACTTTACCCCGAGACCTTTGGGACATGTTGCAACGTCCATAGTCTCGGAAACATCAAGGTAAATAAAACATGTTTTATACACGATTAAGTCCAGATTATAAGATCAAATAATTGGTTATTAACAATGGCAAAACTATAGCCCACAGAAAAATATAGCTTACAGCTTTCTAACCACAATTCAGTCTTTAAACAACCTATGTAATAGGTTTTACAAACAAATGTCCTAAAAGTCCAGTAATGTATCTATACTTTAGTTTGCTTACATTTTCTTTCTGCCCAGATGACGTGGATGGGAGCCAGTGGGCAGGACCGCAGCGCGACCGCCCAGTGGCTAGTTTTTGGCTTCTGCCTGGCCAATGGGAGAGTTTGTACAACCCATAATTAGTCATGTTCAAACTACTTAACTACATAGCTAAGTTACACTAAACTAACAACTTACTAAACGAAGCTTTGTACACTTTGAACAGTGCAATGAATTAGTCGTGTTAATTACTTGACTAAATTACACTAAACTAGCAAATAAGTAAACCACACTAAAGAAGGCTTTTAATATATCGATACCTCACACGTAAGTTGTTATAAATTAAAATACCATTTTTGCTTTATAATTTAAATTTATCTTTTTTTTATGTACAGAATAAAAAAATATATATTATTTAAGTTGAAAAGCCAAATATGATATTTTGACTTAAAACAACTTTCGCGTGAGGTATCGATATTAAGTCAACGTAAAATGGCAGTCTCGGGTTCGATATTTTTGCCGGATAGTTCTAGGTTACATATAGTACAAACCCGAGGTCAATATAAACCAGAAAATGTGGTCGCTGTAAGCGTTCGTCTCTTTCTCATTACCTACATAGATTTATTTTATTTTTTTTGCTTTAAGTAACCAAAGGTTCAAACCTAACAAAAAATCGAAATGGGCAGAATACCGTTAACTAAACTTCAGATTATACACATTGACTGGATACCTCCGTCAAATCCCGGAATTATTTTCTTGCATTTTGTTTCATATGTTTTGATGTGTAAATTGTAATTCTGTCCTCATTGTTATAAGTAACGCTTCTGCATTTCGGTAACTTTCTAGATATTGCTGCCTAACGTTTTATAGTCACTTAAAAAATAAAACAAACTAAATAAGATATTAAAAAACCGAGAGGTTGTACGTCTCGTCCTGATCCCAAACGTGGTAATAACACAATACCGTTATAAATGACGATTACGTTAGTTCTCATGAGGAAGGCAGACTTACTTTACACGGTAGTATATCGACTGTGAACTGGCAATCGGTACTATCTCAATTTTGACAACTTAACAGTATGTACAATATGTCGACCCCTCCTACGTAAAGGATCGTATGTCGAAATTGCCAAGTTTACAGGGGAGTATTTGAGAGTTCTAAATTCACTCGTTACTCACATAGAGTGATCATCTAATAGATCATCTAACCGATATCTAGAATTTTATAATACTCTATGTGAGTAACAAGCTTTGCCGAATAAAACTGAGAAATGCTAAAGTCACGTATCATGGTTATTTCAGTGAATTCAGAAGTTTAAAACGCTGCCCTGTAAACTTGGCAATTTCGACATACGATACTTTACGTAGGAGGGGTGGATGTATTTTAATATTTTATAAACCAGATGCTATATAAATAAGTTTTTCTTCATCCTGTAAAGTTGTCAAAATTGAGATAATACCGGTTGCCAGACCACAGTCGACATTTAGAAAAAAGTTATGTAATTGTAAGTAAAAATATAACATTTTTTTCCATTTCTTTTTTTTTTTCTTCTTAAAGTTTAAATAAATATACTCTACCTATTAAGAGTCTATACCACCTCAGCTTGAATTCAATTTTTTCCCGTGCTGGATGAGTTCTATGGCGCGAGTCGAGCGGTAGGGACACTGGCTTTATTTCAGAATGTATTTTTTTACAAACGATACTAAAGCCTTTTGAGAAATGAATATCATATACTATACGTGTTCTATTTAGTTCAGTTTATACATTGACTTACAATTATATGGACGTCGGGTCCGCGCTAAAAAGTGTCCGAACTTATAGGGCGTTAAAATCGTATATAGAGCGTCATTCACGCTTTAGTCTTCGTTTGTTCGACTGACAGCGAAGCAAGCGAAATTAGACAGCACTGCGATGACATTACAATTTAAATTCAACGTTTTAGCTTTTTCATATTCCTTTACATGTCACTACGTTTAAATAGGTTGACTTGGGACATTTTTTTCGTGGTTTTTGTATTAGACCCGTCGTCCATTTATTTGTAGGTCAATGAGTTTATATTAAAATAAATCGTTGGTATACGTAAAGTACTTATTGAATATAGCGGTTTTCTTGTAAAATTTCGAGGTAAGTTTGTGTTTTTTTTTCTATCGTGAAAATTTCTAGGAATCGTGTTTTCACACCGTATAGATCGGTGTATATCCTCAACATGCTGAATCAACCAAAGCCATTTGAAGTTGTATAGACTCTTAAGATCTCTGTTAATAAGTGACTGTATATATCTAAGTATCTACGGATTCAAGCAAGTTTATTATTTAACATTATATACGTACAGTGCATTCCTGGTTGTCACGTTTCTGATTCGCCATCTCGGGTTTATACTCGTGTTCTAAACCGAAATTCTGCAAAATTATACAAAATGCCACACGTAAATTATCGTATTTTCCTTAATTTCGTATGACGCCTTAAAATAAGACGCTTATAGAAGTGCTGCAGTGGCACCACTGTAGCGCTGCTGCTACTCCATTATAGTACCGCCACACTATGATGGCCGTTTTGACGTTTGCCCGCTCATCAAGTTTGGTATTCATAACTACGTTGAATGAGCTTATTGCTGTTCATTGTTGTCAATAGTGACGTGCAGCAAAATTTATGGAATTTATAATTTTACGACACAACTCGGCATTCGTTGTTCGAAATTCGAAATTTGAAAAATCAAATCTAATACGGTAGTCACTTCTGGGATCGCTGGCCAGCACTACAATGTAAAACAAAGCAGTTTCGAATTAGCGACATATTAAGCAAACATTTTTATTTTCGTTTTATTAAAACTTTTTAATCAGCTACCCCTTCCAATACTAGTTATAAATCTAAAACGTGACTTGCATTTGATTATATTTTTTTTCGATAATGAATTGAGATTTGACCTTACTATTGTAATCTGTCAAAACGGCCATCATAGCGTACTGTAATAATTTTCATACAACATTTGGAAGCGCAGTTGTAGTCACAATTAGTGAACTAAAAATTATTAAAGCGCTACAGATGCACGGCTGCCGCGCCACTGTAGCGCTTCTACAAGAGTCTAGTTTAAAGTTGTTACACAATTTTAGACATTAATATAGCCAGTAAAACCTTTGCGCAAGGCTAATTTTATTTGATTTATAAATGCCATCGAGATGAGCAAAAATAGAAACGAAATAAGGGCCATCCGTTCCTACTCATCAGGCAAATGGGCCTTATATATGAATGGGCCTTATAATCACTTTTAAATATCAACTTTCGTTTGCGCTGAAATCACAAATTAGAAAGCTGAAATAGTACAACGCCAACAACTGACCTGTCCGTCTCCGTATATTCCAAAAATATTCTGTATTTATTGTAATAAAGATAATATCTCTAACAATGGAGGGCTGTTCCATTCGGTGGTGTGGGAAAAACATCTAATTACAAAACCAACAAAATCTCATTCCATCGATAATTAAACATTAAATATGTAATTTTTCAATTTTCGTCCATTGTAGCAAAGTTCAAGTTAAACTAGTCCATTTGAAGTGAAACATTTGACGACACCCGTCAATTGTTTCGAATTCGAATTGGCTAATCAGAGCGCAGTTATCACCGGAATGATTTGGCAGAAAAGTTTTCAAACAAATTAAACGAGATTTCGTCTCTGTTTCTGGTTTTAAGTTCGATGATAAATGCATAAAAATCACCCGATAATTCCGCTTGCACTTACTTCAACTTGACACGACCAAGCGCAATTGTTCGCGCTTAATTCAGCGGCTTAATTTCCCTAAATTTTGTCTGTAGCCTACCCCAAAATGGTTCGTAATTAAATACAACACGATTGACAGAAACCATAACTAGATTATGACCTAACAATCTTCCATTTGTAGGATATGCTTGAGTGGTGAGATGGTGGTATATCAAAATCGCATATCAAAAGTACAGTCTCTCCCATCTCCACCCTCTAAATATTCTTTTGTAAATTACTATATAAAGTTGTAATTACTAACCTTCAAAATGTCCAAATTGGACAAATGATCACCCGGTCCAGTCTGGACAAAATGATGCAGCAACTTCCCGTCTTTTCCAATAAGCAACGCCCCGCCCGTCTGCACCCAATCACCTTTCAGGTCTCCACCTAGACCTAGCATTAAAAAAATCTAGGTAATACAAAAATAAAAAATAGAAACCTCTAGAATGTCCATATTGGGCATTCTATCGCCCGGTCCAGCTTGAATGAAAATGTTCTCGACGCCATTTTGTATGAACACTGCGCCGCCATTTTGTAAGCCGTCGCCGACTAGGTCACTTTGCAAACCTGTAGTACGTATTTAATGTTATTTGTTTGCTATAAAACACTACTTAATGTAATCCATTCGCGTTAAGAATATGGTAACACAAAAATAAATGTTTTAATAATATTTAGGTGCTCCGTCTCGAGATCACAATTTGTGAATTTGAAATTTACTGCATTTCAACATCAAAGTAAAAGGTTAGAAAACGGACGTGAGGAAAACCTAAAAGGAAAAATAATCAGGAGAACTAAGATTGGAGGGAATTAATATATGGGAATAACATGATTTAAAGTAAATATGAACTTATTAAGGATAAACACATAAACAATAAAAATTAATTTCATAAATTATAATAAAGGATAGGATCTTAAAGAAACATGGGTAAGTAAAGGGACATTTGAAGACTGTGCGAAAATTGCTGGAGGTCTTCCTTCAAGAACGGTCAAACCGTGAACAAAAGGATAAGATGAGGCTCGGTGTCCCATATCACCACACTTGCATAAATCGTGGTCTATGAATAGCATTTTTAACGCGAATAGACTCTAGCTACATGTAGGGGTATTGCATACCTAGATGACGAGAACTTACAATATAGTGACGTTGTTTTATGTAAAATACAGTGAAGCATTGCGGTCCCAGGTTCGACTCATAGTGGAACTAATATATGTATGTATATACCTATAGGGAAAGATTGGAGACCCACGTTTCAGAATTTTTTCGATATGTTGTCCTCAATAATGCTCTGGCCATACAAAGAGGCGGACCGCGGAAGCGTTCCGGGCGCGGGAATTTTTGTAATGTACGAATTGTTACGAACCAGTGCCCTTACTGCCAGTGTGGCAGTAAGGCAATAAACTACGTACGGACGTAGTGATGGCCAATTTACTGCCAACTACAAATGGATTAATTAATAAATTAAGACGATTTGTTTAATTCAGTCATATTAACGGTTTTCCTTACATAACCTATAAAAGCATATTTAAAATTTCCGAAATCTTAATTTTAAATCCTCCTTGAAATCCTTACACTTATATACTCGTTCGTTTTTCGATTTACTAATCGATTACAAAAACTTTAATTGAATGAACCGAATGTTTTTTCCGTATAGCATTATGCAACCATAGACTATTCGTACATCCATAATTAAAACATAACCTCGCTTTTTGACTAAAACTTTTCAAATACGATTTTACGATATTATTCAAATGAATATTGTCGCAAAAATTGATGACATATCAAGTCGAAATCTTCGAAATATACGTGAAAGTGACACTTATTCGATTTATTGAATGATTGCTTTAGAATTTTAATCAAACCGTTTTGTTTACTTTTCGACTAAAATGGATTGGAAAAGACATACAGGGTGTAAATTTGAGACGGCGCAGCAAGGCCAGCCACCTTAATCGTTGTAGTTACAGGAAAACGGTTCTAGAAGACTATCCATGAATTTTGAAGATATTTTGATTGACATTCACAGATTTGGAAAAATGGTACAGTTAGCAAGATAAAAGGCAATTGTACGAAACTTTTTTTTATGCCTTTCGATCCGGTCTCTGTTAAGGATCAATAGTCTATGGGGCCAACTGAGGTAAGAGTACTCGAAATGTCAGAAATCGCAAAAAAATTTGTACCATACATTTTGTAGGGACATATTTAGTGATTAGTTATTCTTGGTTAAGGAAACTTACAATAAGGACACTAACAAATTGACAACGTATTATGTATTTCAAAATAAAAATAATAACAAAAAGCAAAATAACATAAAAAATGTATGATAGTAAAAGCTCGAATTGATAGCCGCCTTGGCGGATGCACCGATTCGCTCTCTTCCGCAAACAGCAAGTGGCGGCTGAAATTTTACGCGTATGGATTCCATTGAAAATTGCTGCAAGTGCGTCTTTCAATTCTTTAACACTGTTGTATTTTTTTATGAATTTCATTTAACTAATACACAATATGTTGTCAATTTGTTAGTTTCCTTAACTACCTAGAATAACTGATTACTAAATAATAATATATCCCTACAAAATGTATGGTAAAAAGTTTTTTGCGAATTCTGACTTTTCGAGTAGTCTTACCTCAGTTGGTCCCATAGAGACTATTGATCCTTAACAGAGACCACGTTCGGCCACGGACGCAGTTAAACAGCATTGCAATGCCACAGTGGCGCCACTGCAGCACTTCTCAGCGCTTAAGGCGCTCTTATTCTTAGACATCAAATTAAAACGGCTTCCTACTGATTTAAGTTTTAAGCAAAAAACGAACCCATGCTGCGCCCCTTGAAGATGGCTTCCCTGGACTGCTTCCAGAAGAGCGAGGTGATGATTGAAATGACGTTGAATCGCTTAAAACCGAGGTTCTGATATGTATTCATGTCCTCCACGTAGTACAAATCTGAAAGAACAATGTTTTCAAATGAACGGACTTCACTTTAAAAAGGTTGTAAACCACTAATGTGCCGTGACCAGGATCACGGCAATAAAATAGGATACTTCGGTCCACAAAAATTTATTGGATAGTTGGCAGGCAAGGAAAGGCAGTAACAAGAAAAGGTATATAAAAACGCAGGTACAATACTATCAAACACTCTTCGGATATGCTTATGGATGAATATAAAGTTGACACCAGTGGCGAGGCGTTCATATAACTCGATTGTCACCGGCTTGCCTAAAATGTTCCACGTATTATCAAATACTACATTTTGTGCTACATTTTATGTGTAGAATAAGTTAACCAGCGAAATGAAGTATACTAGTACCTTGTGTGCTAATAAGTTCCGTTTAAGCGTCGGCAAAGCGCCACTTTTTCTTAAGGGAAGTGCTTTTTGTTTTGCTCTGGCTTTTCTAACTACAATTTTCACGCCTTGCCACTGGTAGACACTTACCCCAAAAGGGCTGAGTTACAGATTGATAACTGCATATGATCATTGCATTGATCTAAGTATTGATATGGTTGATGAACCATCATTGTTACCAAACAATGGTGGACGGGAACAATGAACACTACCTACGCCAACTATATTTTTTGATCAACTTCTTTTATTTTTGTTAACAGCCATATTCATTTACTAATATTATGCTCCCTGAATTTTGTGAAAAAAAAGTAAGGAAACAGAAAACAAAATAAAAACAGAACAGGTCCAAAAATTAAGTTGGCGTGATGTTCATTGGAGGTATCGAAGTTAATTAAAGTTTAACAAAAACGAGATCTGACCTCCATCGAAGAATTTCCCTTCGACGAACTCCTTTGAACCGGCTTCTTCCACACCAACGCCAATCAGTTTAACATTGTTCTTGTGGAGAATAGGCGCTATTTCCCCTAACTGAAAATTATAATAACTTTACACAGTCAAGTTCATATACAAATTACTTAAGGTTTTATCAATAGACGAATCAACAAACCATACTCTTGGTATAATAAAGTCACATGTGATTGATATTTGATAATACATGAATGTCCACTTGCAAAAAATAACAGGAACTACATGAACCAAATTATGCCTACGTGTTTAATAACTTTTTTTTATAATATCAAGTGACGGGATGAACAAGTCGTGCGCCTGGTGGTAAGCGACACGCCTATCTACAACAATTGCAGTGTCACTCAGAGCTTCAAATCGCAAAGAAATATCTCCTTGGGGAATGGGGCACCGCCATTCGTCGTCACCCTGAGACGTAAGTTGACAAGTCTCACGTCGGAGCGCAGTAATGCTCGCATTACTGCTTGCCGGCAGAAATAGGTAAGGTGGCAGTACTTCCCTGGACGAACTCTTTCAGAAGGAGCTGTGCTGCTATTCCTATTAATAAACTAATTATTTAGTCTCCTATTTAAGTACAAAAAAGTAATCGACTAGGTTATTTCGTTCATAGAACCTTTAAACCTCTCTCCTGAAAAGTTGTAATTTTGCAGATATGGCCTTATTACACTTAGGGTGCGAAATGCTTGTGATTACCTTACAACTTTGTTGAACGGTACTGCCTCAGAAACTTCTAGCTGGAAAAAACAAGTCTAAACTTTCGAACTTAGAACGCAGATAATGGGTTTCGCAAATGTACAGGATATGTGTGACTTTTCGCTCCGAACATAAGATTGAGTTTCCAGATAGAAATTTCGAGGAACACATCGGTTATTTTGACCATTTGATTTTGATTTAATGGCGGCACTTCACATGGCTACTTGTAATTCGCTATTGGATGTTTGATGTACTTGGATATAGCGACACTGTCGTAGAACAGAGACGGATGTGATAATACAACGAAATCGTTATTATTGCAAAATCGGCTCCTATGATCAATAATCTATCGACACCAGAAAGAAAAAGTAAAATATTCCAGTTAATTCCAGAGATATTCAATCGAACAAAGTCGCTTTTGAAAATCGTTCCGAAGAAAACCATTCGAAGGTCAATAACCGCACTGTCGCTCGGAAGCCAACGCACCGCGTTCGCCGAGCGAAGCAGATGTATCGTCAGTAGCGGCGATGTTCCATGGCAAGCGGTCGTATAAGCCCAACAAAACTTGTCACGTTCTAATACCGTATTGTTGCTTTATCAATGTTATTTTTTTTTAATCTTCTAAAGCAAAAGCGATATAAAAAATGTCTCGGTCACAAAAAATAATAAATTTACTTTTAAATAACGAAGAAATAAGCGAGCACTTTGCGGAGGGCTCCAGTATTTTAAATATTTCTCACGAAAATACACATTATACCGGTAAGTAATTTTATATTTATAAAATTTATGTATTAAATATTTCACACGAAAATATACATTGTACCGGTAAGTAATTTTATATTTGTTATTACGAAATATTCAAATCCTGTGTCGCATGTTAAGAACCGACTTTGTTCTACAAAAATAAAAAATAGTGAATTTATTTGTTAAAATATTATTGTAATGTTGTTTTCTTGGTGTAATTTATTCACGTACTTTATGTACCAATTTTTAAAAATACGATTTTTTTGCTGTCGTATATTTTAAAGTTTCGTTTTTCTTCCAAATTTATTTCGATTATACAAGTGGATTGTGCACATACGACGTTGTACTCCGAAGTTTTGTTACATTTTTCAAGTAGCATATTGAGAACCGACTTTGTTCTTCGGTATAATGTCACATACGCTTTTATTCGGCAAGTTGAAATGCTAATAAAACCTATAAAACTTACCTGATTTTTTCATATTTTTATTTTTATTTTGGTTACATGTACCTTTAAATATTTTGGGGCTTTGCAGGTCCTGACGATGACAAACCCGCATCACCACCAGGGGCGGAAATCATAGCCAGTCAACTAAGCGAAATAGCGTAGAAAGTTTATACAGATAACGAAGAAAGTCAAAATTTAGTTGAGGACGTGACACCATTTGGTATAGAAGATGCCAACACCAGCATGAGGATTCCCCACCTGTAGTTATCGAGGAATTTGAAGACAATGTTCTGAGTACACCTAAATCACCCTTAAAAATTCCCACACCGATGCCTTCACCGACTAACAATCACAGGAACTGCCACGACACATTTTGTGCAGTACATGACCACTGGAAAGAGGCATTACCATCATACCAGAGGCATCATCATGATCACGTCAATTCATTTGCCCCAATCAAGTCTCATTACATTAGGAAGAGATCGAACAAGCTTTATTTAGACGGTAATCTAAGCATTGGATGTATGTTTTTGCTATACAAAGAATGGTTTGACCCATCAAAATATGTTAAGAGGGCTTCTACTGAGCGGCAATAGAGGGATATTGTTTCCAAACACTTTGATTTAGGATTTCATGTGCCTAAAAAAGACGCATGTGACACCTGACACATTTATAGGAATAAAAATAACTCTGCTGAAAACGAGATTGCATTGTATGAAAAACATATTCGCGACAAAAACATAGCTCCTAAATTAAAAAATAACGACAAGGACGCAGCAATTCATTTTATTATTTTTACATGTATGCTGCAAAAAAAATATAATTTATCAATAACACATAGGTTTTTAGAGAAGGGACACACGCAAAATGAGGAGGCCAGTGCACATTCCCTCGTAGAGCGTGTGTCCAAGTCTCGGATCGTTTATACTCCAGATGAGTGGCGAACTCTCGTAAGATGGGCTAAGACCGATGATAATCCCTATCGAGTAAAAAATATGGAGCAAAAGGATTTCTTTGATTTTAAAAATAAATTGAACAATAAATTATGGGTTAAAAACAGCAAGAATGAAAAAATTATATGGAATCAGATAAAAGAAATTCATGTTCACAAAAATGAACCCAATAAATTATATTACAAGTATGATTGTAATGAAAGTCATGCTTATGATTGTCTGGTCGTTGGATCTAGTACCAGAAACTATTCACCATTACCCAATTTAACACCTATTTCTAACAGTTTGTATAAAATATCAAAAGACAAATATAATGATCTTATTCATATGTGCCACACTGGAGTAGTTATTTCTGAATATAGTAACTATTTCAAATCTCTACCATTTGATAATAATCATGGTACCAATAACAATGATAGTGGTGATGAATAAGTAAATAATTTATACTATTTCCATTTCTATATAATTATTTTTCCTGTATTTCCGTTTTCATGTTGGTTTAACGACATTCCAGATTTATTATGATTTGACAATTTTATTCTGACCAAAAATTTTGTTCTGTTTAGAATAAGATCTAAGAATTTTGGATTTTGGCAAATTTAAATTATCTGGTAATTACTTGTACCTATTATTATTTTTTTGCTTATAATTGTAAATAATATTTACGGATGAAAAACGATTAGAAGTTTAGTATTGTTTGTTATTGTTATTTTTGGAAATTTTTTTTATTATTAGAATAACTGAAATAAATATCACTTTTTTCGTTATTTAGGATACAAAAAAGTATTTCGACAAGTTCCAAGATAAAAAAGTAGATTTATGTTTTTATAAAACTATGTACTATAATTGTGTTGCTTGAAATTACTCATATCTAATGAATAATAATTTAAGACGGTACAGAGAACAAGTGACTAGAAATTTAGTGTGCACGATGTGTGGAAATTTTTATTTTGTTTTCTTATTTTTAAGTAAATATTTCTTTCTAGATCTTCTTATTTTGAATACGTACTCGTAAGTCTAAAATCATGTTCCTAGATATAAAAGTATATTTAAGTATACAAAAGTTACTCAAACGAAGTAACTATTGATATTTTGATGCAAATTTAAAAAGTTTTCTCATTGATTTCGATTTTGTTACAGATTGTTTTTTGTTAGTCTTAAATATCCTTATACTTAAATATCATTATACTTGTGATTCAGACTGATTATCTTGTTACTATTGAGACTGATTAACGCCATAGTATTCAAATTAAGCTTTTTAGTTAAAAACTTTAGTTATGTTTCATGATCTCAGAAGTTACCAAATTTAAAGATAATCTTAGTAGTTAGTTATTTATTTGTTTGTGCAATTTCCGCAAAAAAAAATAGTTGTTGATTATATTTTTTCTTTTAGATAGCGCTTGTACTTAAACAATAAAGATTTCTAAATATATATTTTTTTTATTTTACCTAGTTTCAATATACGACATCGAATTTCATATGTAATTCCTTGGAACAGTGTAACATGTATACATACGTTGTAGTACTTTCCATAGAACAACGTCGCAAAGTCATAACAAACGTTCGAAGTTACGTGGTACAACATCGGATCATTATATACGAAAGCAAATTTTTCCATGTATAATTTAAATTAAAGAATTGTAATGTAAATATAACCTTTAGTACGAGACAAAAAGCTATTACTAAATAAATTTTCATTTAAAGGATTAGGTGAAAAGTTATATTGAAAAATGTGAGTCCCAAACTTTGAAATGCTCTCTTGTAAAGTTGACATTTTGCAGATCCGTCTTTGTTCTACGACAGTGTCGATATATTTAACGTACCTACGGATAAACATGCAAACTCTGACAAATATGACCGTCTACACATGGACCCAAATAAGTAGTTAAAATTATGATTATGACCATAGTGTGGAAGGTTTACTTTCGGATTTGCCTATTTGGGCCCTTTAAGCGGTAACGGGAGTTTGGTGTATGCTGTATTTGTCGATTAGACAAACTAAATACTTTGTCACACACACAATCTACACATGGTTATTGTTTGCCAAATTTATCAAATACCCATATAAAAATAGCTAAGTGAAGTGCCACCATAAATGAATAAATAATAAAAATAAATCGAATGTAAGTATCACCAATCAGTAGGGCTAGCACGACAGGGCGCGACTAGCGCGAGACCCTGCCATTCTCGAATAGAGATCTCGAGCTTCGTAGAAACAAGATTTGGGCAAAGCGTAGGTTGTCAAATTATAATTACTATAGACGCAAGAACAGTCACATGTATACCACCAATTTAAGTTCCATCTAAAATTTGTAATGCAATAAACAATTGTTTGACGAGAATTTAATTCCAAAGGGATGGGATTTTTAGGGTCGTATTCTAGAACTCTACTCAATGTTCAAGTCAGGATTTGAGAATGGTTTAAAGCACTCGAAATCATACTCAAGTCCCTGCCATTAGGGTCGTATTTCCAGTGCTTGTGTTTCAATTGCAATCCTGACTTGAGTATTGAGTAGAGTTCTAGAATACGACTCTTAGACACGCTCAGTAAAATCAAAAATGTGTGGAATTCGACTCAAGTTTGAAGGAGGATTTTCAGGATTCAAAAATCTCAAATATCAGACAGTAACGTATTTTGTAATTGATATTTCAGGTACTTTTGTGGTGTCCGGATAGTGGTAATTATTGTATTTTGTCTTTTAAATAGATACCGCATTTTGTATGTAATAAATCTCATGATGGTATTTTATAATTTCCGTATCTGAGAAGCATTACACTGTAAGCGCCATTTTTTGTAATTTTACGGAGGAAGCGAATTCGTGCCGAAAATCGGTTTCTACGACAATTAGGGTAGCTCGAAATGTTATTAAAACTCAGTTTTATTTCAAGCCATTCTAAATGTTGTACATGCTTCATTTCGACACAAAAATGGCACTTACAGTGTAATACTTCATACTCCAGCCCTGACTATGACCACTACATGGAATATAATTATTCCGAACAATCAGACGAATAACATGCGTATCTACAGAAACAAGAAACAACAAACATATTTAGGTATAATTACAATAAATGCCTGTACTTTTATCTGAGTCTTGGTTAACCTTACACAGTTCGATGATTCATTGGTATCAAGTAGGAACACGTCTATTGAATGTATGTACGTATGTATGTAATGGCTTTGGTTAATTGAGAATAACAGTGAGTGTTGCATCAATCCATTTGTAAAAAATATATAGTAAAATTGCCGATATAGACAGATTATTATATGATGTGAAAACAAGTTTCCTAAAAAATTTCAAGATAGAAAAAAAACACAAACTTACCTCTAAATTTTACAAGAAATCCGCTGTATTCAGTACCTACTGTACATATACCAATATTTTTTTTTATATCAGCTGAACTAAACAGAACACGTATAGTATACGATATACATTTTTCAAGTAGCTTTAATTTCGTTTGTAAAAAAATCATTCTGAAATAAAGCCAGTGTCCCTGCTGCTCGAGTCAAGCAAAATGAACCATATTAGTACGAGAAAATTTGAATTCAGGCTGAGGTAGTTTCTGATAGGTATTTTAGCCTAGCCAGGCACCGATACTAGGGATATGCAGGAAAATAAAGATATACGTCCGTACTCAAGAACCGTTGTATTCGAAGAGCAAGCAATCTCGTTTTACAACGTCAAAGTAAAGTTGTATCCTACCCTCATACATTACAGTTTCGACTCTTAAGTATTATTTTTGCATGATTCCCGTGTTATGTATGTACTTTACACTAGTTATAGTGATGCAACGGAAGTGTCATACATAACGGAAACAGAAATGGAAACAGATGTCGAAAGTAAATCTAAGCTGAAACGAATGCGTAAGTGTAAATACTATGAAGAACTCAGTACAATAGTTTCTAACAGGGCTTGTTTTTGGTTCCATTGTGCAATTATTACACAATACAAAACTACTAAAAAACGCATTCTCCACCACCAAGTAATCCGCACTAACGCCTGATCCGTCGCAAACGTTGAACTTCCGATTAAAGTTCCGTTATAAATGTTGCGGAATCAGAAACGGACACAGATGTGAAAAAGCTTGCGGAACTTCCGCAGTTACGGAAGCAACAGCTTAGTAGTAGCAGTACACGCTTATTTTCACATTTGTAGTAATATTTGTATGTATGTATGTGCCCAACTCTTTATTATACCTTTAAGTGAATTTGTACAAAATTCGACATAATAATATATATATATAAAAACTAGTTAATATTTACGAGAACGGCTATTATTCCATTACACTTGTGTTCAAGTAATTTTCAGTCGAAGGTATATATGGTGCATTTTGTTAAGTATCCAGTAGAAGCTGAATACGGTGTTTTTGGGCCCTTAAATTGTTGCAAGCAAAATTAGACAGTACTGCAATAACGTTACAATTTAAATTAAATGTTTTAGTTTTTTATATTTCATTATAGGTCACTACGTTTGTATAGGTTAACTTCGGACATTTTTTTCGTGGTTTTTGTATTAGACGCGATGTCCATTTGTTGGAACGTCAATGTTAACTAGGCACCATAATTACATTGGACTGGATAAGATCTTGATGATCATCCTATAGCAGTTGAAGTTCCACTGAGAGCTTTAAAGCTTTAAATAGCAAAGGTCTGAAAGGCACTGGTATTGCGCCCTACACCCTGAGACATAAGCTGACAAGTCCCAAGCGCCTGTAATTTCAACACGCACCTTCAAAACCGTAATGCATGCTCACATTACTACTCGGCAGCAGAAATAGGCATGGTGGCAGTAATTCCCTGGATGGACTACTTGATAAGGATCTGCTGCTACTGAACGCTGAGAACCAACAACTTAAAAAAGCCTGGTACTAACCTCTTTAGCCCAGAGCCTGCACAGCATGCAGCCCCAACGCCTGAAGAAAACGATGGCCACATTCTGATCCTGCCACAAGCTCTTCAGTTCCACGCTCTGAAATATACAAATTGTTTTTAAGAGGATACTATTTAGGGTTACGTTTAGGTCATTATCACATGTTTTACAATAAAAGAAAACATCGATGGAAAAAAATATGTCAAAGTAAATGAGAGCTGAGACTGTACATGATAAGGCTACTCTGCACTTCCTCACCTAATGCTGCCCTGTGCGCAGGCTTCAGACCAGGGATCTATATAATCAAAGCCAGGAGAGTACCGTTCACAATGAGGAGGGGCAGCACTGGCCCGAATAATACCACCCTTATTATGATAAATAATATTACAACTGTAATGCCTAAAACATAGCAAGCCCCAGAGTTTAATAAAATTCTTTACAAAATTGTATTTTAAATATGAAATTTTAAAAGTCTGCAGTAAATCATGTGAATTTTTCTTCTTAGTACAGTTATACTCCGTCCAACTATTTATTTCACTTTTGGCATGCCTCCAAAGTTCCTTAATTATTGACATACAACCATAGACAAAAAATGCAATACATCCTGGACTTAGACTATGGAAACCAAAGGACATGTTATATTGAAATATATGATGCATTTAGACCTTAGAGGATAGAAAAAAATAAAGGAAAGGAGCTGCCCTATCTACGGAATAAACATCTTACCTAATCCAAAAATGTCCACCACAAATGGCGGATTTCTTTAGTGTTGTGCCATAATCATCGATAAGTCAATATTGACATGCAAATGTATGGCTTGAATGTTGAAACTGTTTTTTTTTATGTTTGTAATTTATATAGTTTACTGTACACAAAGTATGCTTTAAATGTTTAATTAAAGTAGATAAATATAAAATGATTATCACTAATATCAGGTTTCTTACCACGGTATGACTTCTTTTTATTTTCCCGATATTTTGGAACAGTTGCACGCTCCATAGTCACGGGTTGACTGGACCATGGAGGACTTTAGATTATTTATTTTGGTAACTATAATTTAGGATAGTGTGGTTTGCTTTGATATTACATGACTTATCAGGCACAAGAATACTATGAACTTAAATGGGTTTACATTTTATGTTCAAAAACCGCACACAAAAAACGCACTATATAAACATAATACATAATGGTGTGGCGATTTAAGAATAACAAATTTCAGGTGTTCTGAAAATAATTTTTGCATTTTGGATTTGTGGTAGTGATTTCATTCGACGAGAACTTTATAACTTGTCAAGTTACTCGAATACTTTTCAGAACCGTCCAGCTATACTTGCTTACGAACTAACATGATCGAAAGTGTATCAAACATTATCTTCATGAAAACCAAAGACTATTTAGTGAATGTAAACTACTACTTAGTACGTAATTGCATTAATTAGTATTAACCTACCGCACAAAATGGAAAGTCGGCCGGCAAAAAAAACTAATAAAACTTTTACCTCCCCGTTTGGAATTCTCTTCACTTTGTGGGTCCCAATAACGGATAAATCTGCCGCCATTTTGTCGTAATGAAATCGTTTCAAAACCTAGAAATAAACAAAATACAAGATTTCTAAAAAATATACAAGGATAAATTCATTAATTTGTCAACTGTTGGGAGAAAAACTCGTTGTTTTTTCAATCAGTGTTGCCAGGCCAAATCGGAAGATATTGAAAAAAACAGTAGATGCTGAACTTACGTTGTTTGAAACACTTTTAATCGATTTTCTTCATACATTGTCACGTAATGTTTTTGATGTTTTCTTACGATGTTGGTATCTGACAATAAAATTGTATTTTAACCGACATCAAAAAAGGAGGATGTTCTCAATTCGTCTGTATGTTTTTTTTTGCATGTATTTTACGCGATAACTCATTTGGCAATGTGGCATTTGTGGACCGATTTGGATGATTCTTTTTGTTGGAAAGAGGGTACCTCAGTAGTCATCAACAGCCTGTCGTAGTCTACAGCTGGACATAGGTCTCTCCCAATGAAATTGATGAAAAAAAATTCGCCCGGTCCTCAGCTCGTTACATTCATCTACTGCCAGCAGCCCTTCGCAAATCGTCACCCCATCTGGCCACAGGGCGTCCTACACCACGTTTTCCGAGCCGTGATCTCCACTCAAGAACCCGCTTCCCCCAGCGGTTATCGGTTCTTCGACAGATATGGCCAGCCCACTGCCACTTCAGTTTGCTTATTCTACCAGCTATGTCGACGACCTTAGTTCTCTGTCGATAACCTCGTTTCGTACCCCTTGTCCTTCAAAGAAACTTCGAGCATTCGTTCCATAGCGCACTGAGCGACTTTCAACTGGTGAACTAACCGTATCGTGAGTGTCCATGTCTCGGCTCCAAGTGTCATAACAGGATAACGCACTAATTAAAAACCTTTGTTTTCAAACTTTGCGGTAAGGGTAACGAGAAGAGTCGATGTAGTTTACCAAACGCTGCACAGCCAAGCTGAATCCTCCTCATGGTTTTCCTTTCGAAGTTGTTTCTACCCAATCGCAAAATCTGCCCAAGGTAAATACATTCGGAAACAACTTCAAGAAAGTGGCCATTTACTACGATTGGCCTCGGGACAATATGATCATTGTTCATGACTTTCGTTTTATCCAAGTACATGCCGAAACCAATCAATTGCGAGGCGGATGCTAGGCTGTCCAGTATTCGTTGCAGCTCCTCCAGCGACTCCGCCATTATGACTGTCGCTAATCGCAAGTGTGAGATGTATTCGCCGTTTATGTTTATGCCCATCCTTTTCCAGTCCAGCGTCTTAAACATGTCTTCCAATGCAAAGGCTGTAAACAGTTTCGGGGATATGACATCCCCCTGTCTAACTCCTCTTTGTAATTTGATGGGCTTAGACTGCTGGCCCTGTACTTGGACACTCATGGTAGCGGCGTCATACAGGCATCTCATCACTTCGATATAACGAAAGTCTACTTGGCATCGCCGTAAGGATCCCAAGACAGCCCAGGGTCTCGATGGAATCGAAGGCCTTCTCATAGTCCACAAAGGCTAGACATAGGGGCTGATTATACTCGTCTGTCTTCTATATAATCAGGCTCACTGTGTGTATGTGATCTATAGCACCATATCCCCGTCTAAACATAGACTGCTTCGGTGGCTCAAACTCGTAGAGTTTTCTGGCGAGACGATTCGTAATGACTCTAGAAAATAGCTTGTAGACGTGGGTCAGGAGAAAGATGGGCATATAGTTTTTAAGTAGACATTTATCTCCCTTTTTAAAGAAGAGAACTATATACTCCTGTTCCACGCCTGAGGAGTTTGTCTACAGTAGATGACAGAGCTAAAGAGCCCCCGAAGTTCCTTAATAACAGGGACTCCTCCAGACTTCAGAAGCTCTGTAGTAACTCTGTATTCACCCGAGACTTTTCCATTTTGGAGCAGTTTTAGAGTCAATACGATCTCGTCTTGGCTGATTTTTGGCAATTCGTCGGAGCAGCACTTCAGTAGTGGTCTCATTTAAATTTGAAGAAAATATTCCACCTCTAAGGGTAGCAAACTAGGGGATGAATTCGTTTTCGCACTTTCCGGTAACCGATTTCAATAAAATTTGGCGTTTTTTTAATAGTATTTTTGGATAATAATACCATAAATGTTACTTCCCCGCATTTTGTAGACCTGTGCCTTGCTATTGACAAATATGCCGTATATAAAATACCAAAAAAAAAATGAAAGGACGATGTTCTATGATTTAACCACATTTTAAAATTTTGCAAAAACTAATGTTCAACATGTTCAGAGAGTCACAAAATCCAAAAAGCCGACAAGAATAGTTGTGAAAAGCGAAAAATCTGAAAATTCCTAAAAAACAGTAGATTTCTCGCTAAATAACATTGTAACAGTAGATGTTGTCCAAAAATAGTAGATCTACTGGAAAAACAGTAAAACTGGCAACACTGTTTTCAATTCATTCCGTAAAGGAAAAGGCAAGGGTTTCACACCATACAGCCAAGTCTTGGTAAAGGAGAAAATCTTGTAAAAATTATAGTTCACAACTGTCAAGTGTTTTTTTTTTTCAATTAAGTTTGGTGCCATCTTCGTTTAAATAACGGGATCATAAGATTCAGGGTCGTATTCCAGAATTCTACTCAATGCTCAAGTCAGATCTTGAGCAGACTTGAGTATGATTTCAAGCACTGGAAATACGACCCTAATGGCAAGGACTCGAGTATGATTTTCAGTGCTCACTGCAATACTCAAGTCAGGATTTGGGCAGACTTGAGTATGATTTCAAGCACTGGAAATACGACCCTAATGGCAAGGACTTGAGTATAATTTCCAGTGCTCACTGCAATTCTCAAGTCCTGACTTGAGTATTGAGTAGAGTTCTGAGGTTGCTTTGTAGAAAGAATCGAAATTTTGATTTTGGTAAACGAAAATCTCTATTATACGTTTATACGCGCGGCCCGATTTTTGCGCGACCTTCTCCTTCCAGTCTAGACTAGTGAAACATCTAGTCGAGAGCGGATGTGCATCACACTGAAACAAAATATTCGCGATTTTCATGTTCAAAAACTATTTTGTCATCATTGAGTAGGTACTTGAACATTATAATCCAGCGTTTTGCAAGGTAAGTGCGATGTAACAATATTATTTATGCTTCAATCGAAACAGTGATCAAAACAGCTTCATGACATTAATTAAATTCGAATAATTGAAGAATAATTGCCAAAATTTCATTAATTCCCGCTTCTTCACAATACGTTCCTTCCAAACTTTTACTGGGTGGTAAAGAAAGGATTTGGAAGGCAATGAATTGTTAAGTTTTAACTATTTGTCAAGACCACATTTTTATCGTTTCTTTTAATTTATCTTTCTTTGGCTCAACTCACACTGGCGTAGAGTCGAAGCGTTACGTCGCGTCCTGTTTTTCAACTACAACGCACGGCGACGTGCGAAACCGCTTGACTTAAAGTCAAAGTCAAGTTACATCTCACCTGATGGAAATGACGACGACGTCGAGAATGGAGATTGCACAACTATACAATGTGTTGATTTGCATTCTCGCCATATTTACAGAGGTCATTCTATATCTAAACTGAACCCAAATCACTAAAAAAATAAATCGAAAAAAAATTCCTAAATTTTTATTTTTTTATTTAATTGCGGTAAACACGTTTGATCCAAAAGTCATTGACTTGTACTACACGTGCTACAGGTACCGGCAACCATTTGAACAATGTCCTATACGCAGAAAATAATGCATTTTAGATCAATTTGGTGGTAGGGTACGAGTAGGAACGGGGGAGTATCGTATCGAGCGCATGATTGGTAGATCATCAGCCGACCTTGCGTATTGCGCCAACGTTCCGCTGACATCGCGTATACGTTCTAGTTTCTCACGAAATGCCACGTGGTTTAGTATGTAAGCAAAAGTTACTGCAAAAAAATACTGCTACCAGTTCACCAGACCCTGCATTAAAATCTAGTGCGTTCTTCAGGCATGATATGAAACGTTTAGTTTACGCAGATTACGAGAGTCGAAGAATTGCGCGCAAAAATCGTCTCGGGTTTCTTTCTGCTTTTTCTGTTGTGAAGAATGTGCTAAGTTGAAACGAAACTCTGCGTATCTGCGTCTGGCTCCGGTACGGAGCCTGCCACCAATTGTGGAGCTAGGTACTTCTAGCACTACTTTCATGTAACATAAAGTTGGGAAGTACCAAATCTAAGTTACAAGAAACCTTTTTTTCAGTCATCTTTTCTAACTACTATAAATAATTAGTAAATTATAACAATAGTAGTACATAAACATAATTTAAAAAATAGGTAAACAAGCGATTGAGAAAGATTACGTACCGCTCGGTGAAGCGAGTGGCGGGGTCACTGTCCTCCGCGGTGAATAGACTTGGGGACAATTTTACAAAACTTTACTAGATACAATTACCCAGAATATTGAACAGGATATTTTTTAAATATTTTTAGACGATTTATTATTTCTATTCTTGATTTCTTAAATATTGCGAGAATGCAAATCAACACACTGTATAATGCCTATACATTTTCGCCTTGAAAAGGACCAAGTCTTAGGGTCGTATTCCAGAACTCTACTCAATGCTCAAGGCAGAACTTGAGTATTGCAGTGAGCACTGAAAATCATACTCAAGTCCTTGCCATTAGGGTCGTATTTCCAGTGCTTGAAATCATACTCAAGTCTGCTCAAATCCTGACTTGAGCATTGAGTAGAGTTCTGGAATACGACTGTTCACGTTCAAGGAACAAATTTACAGACAAGGTGTAATGTAGCATATTCCCGGGGCGGGTCACAGGGGAATTCCACTTCAACACACGCTATATAAATGTGGAAGCGTTGCAATATTTGCGAATCTTGAGTATATCAACAACATAGGAGCGGAACCCCTATATGTAGGTAATCACCCGATGATAGGAAGGGGATGACGGAATGATTTCATATAATTTCGTTCACTCACTCTCCGTGATATATCCCGTGAAAAAGGACATACCTATATTTTGAAAATGGCCCAAGAAATAATTACGACTCTGACAACGATCCATTTTCTATAGGATTGTCTGTGATGCCATTGCCGCAATTGATTTATCTTTTACATGCTAACGATGCTTAATGAACAAGTCACTGCCAAGAAACATGATACTGCCAAGAAGCAAGGCATGGCCAAATAATCCTTAGACGGAATCAGCGGTGTAGTCCAAATGGCTGCCAACACCTATGTTAATTACGATGGGATATGGGTTAATTCGCAGATTTTATTGGAGTTGTCCAGCAAAACGTCCAATCTCATGTCACTAATGCTGCAGAAGAGAAATCGGGCTGACCTCAGTTGTTCCATTTGTCGAAACAGCTATGTGCTGTGCGAGTATAAGAAACGTTTTGGAGTATTCAGGATGGGAATCGAAAGAATACGAAATTCTCAGTCGTATCTTCTGACCACGACTGTAATTATATTGCTATTTCAGTTCCGGATGGTGAAGTCGAAAAAAATAACAATATCCTTCTATGAATTATCGGAGACTGCCAAATTCTTTCTTCAAGACGATAATAAATCAACCTTGCATATTGATTCGCCTACAACATTGAATAATATCGGGAACATGTTGTCAAGTGAGTTAGATGACACTTTGTTTTCGGAGGAGACTAGCCATTCAAAACCAGATCCTGCCGAGAGTATAGAGAAGAAATCTAAAATATAATGTGATGTATCAAATATCCCACAGTTCATCATTAGTTTTCAGTTCATAATAATTCATAAAGATTTAGTTACGTTGATCAAATAGAATTCGATTCTTTTTTAAATGATCAACGATAAGAAATAATCCTGAAAACCTTACTAGAGGAATGAACATCGACCCTGGTGTTGAACATGAATAGACAGGTCATCTATATCCATGAAGATTTGAAAATGAGGACAATATTAGATTATTTATTACAAAGATGTCAAATTCGTTTAGGTGATGTAGTTGAGTAAAAAATTACTTTATCGGTAACATATTTAACGAAGGGGATTCCTCAGAGCTGATGCACCAAAGTTAATTAACTATAATTTTTCTTATAATTTTGTTGATTTTTTATAATTCATTACAGATCACATAAATACTTCTTTATTCCGTGCTTATGATATATTTGATTTTAATGTGTCTAAAGAAGACGTCTTTTGTTTTGTTTAATACGATTATGTTACTGTTTAGATATTAATTTTATTAGATAATTTATAATCATGACATGTTATTTTTTTATTATTGATGAGATGAGAAAACTGAAATTGTAGGCCTTAGCCTCGTTACTTAATACCTTGTGTGTAATTAATATAATTAATATAATATTAAGACATATTTTCATCGATCCTTTCATTTCAGACCTACAATTTATGAATTTTCAACATTGATATTACCTTCTGTACAAAAATGATTACTATCTCGTAACATTTTAGTTTTTCCCAAGCATACCTATATCATTACCATCCACCTGCACTTCATCATTACTGTTCAGGCATATTTCACTACCATCTATACGTAAGTCATATTCCTTCATTACTTTCCTATAGTTTTTGTTTGTGTAAACTATAATTAGTACGGGTACGATCGAGATCAAATCACGATTGTGGTAAAATACTTTTAAAAATTTGCGTTTTTTCATTCCGCCAAAATGGGCGAATTTGCTCGAAACGACGGAACGACACTTATCAAAACTTATTGATTTTTAATGTTAGGAACAGAATTATGATTAAATGTGTAAGTTATTCATGCTTTTGTCTAAAAACGAACTTATTAGCGTAATAAGACGCGTTACTACAAAATTATTACTTTTGAGTTCCGATAGTTCGATTTCCACTGCACAGTCAGCTGACAGATTCAAATACTCGTGATGTGATTGGTGGAACGAGTGGATTTATTATATTGAACCAATCAGATAATTCCATTCAATTGCTTTGTGTCGAGAACGAACTGCGTCCGCATTTCTTCTTTATTTTTTTTCTATCGACATTTTGCTGTTTGTGACAGTTGCCGCGTGTTACTCGCCGCCGGTAAAGAATATTTATTGAAAAATCTTCTAAACACGTAAGTTGTTTTACTATTTTCTATTATAAAAAATGTGTCTTGGCTTGATATAGTTGAAAATAAATACAATTCTATCGAAGTTATGTACAATTTGATGTTACAATTGGTCCAGTACTGACCTTGTCTATCTTAATTTGATATTAGATTGATTTTTTCATGATAACTTTGTTTCATGCCATTTCAATTTCCATTGTTAGTCATGGGAACATGAAAACTCTGACTTAAACCGCTATTTTCATGTATGTAAGCTGATTAACATTCAAAATTCACTTATTTTTATGAGGTAATCCTGACTTGGCATTACTATAGAAGCCGCCAAGTACCTATTAAGTGATGACGTCACCTCCCGAGTACGTATTTACTCAAGGACTCGTCTATACACAGTTACAAAACACTTATGTTATATACTAAATACTATATTACCTATACAATTCATTCTTCATTGTTAAAATGATAAACATCAAAGGCACTGAGTCCTGGAAACTCAATCTTCCTACCTTTAAGTACATGAAATAGTTTTGTAATGTAGTTATTTTAAAAGAAAGTAATTTTTGTCGCACTTTGGTAAGTAACATGTTTAAAAAATTTTTTTTAACTACCCCCTTTTCTGTGTACATGGGTTACATTGAATTATTGTCTTCCAAATACCTTCTTATGAAAATAATTGGCTTATGTCCACTTGCACTAAACTTAAGCATGTCTTAAACCAATGCTTGCAATGCAAAAGACACTCAAGGCAAGCCTTGTGTAATCTAAGAACTTACACATTATTTTTATAATATCAAGTACCAGGGCAAACAAGTATAAATATATCAAAGCTTTATTATTTCCATTATTTTTGAATGCCGGAAACCACCACAAAATACCTATCAATAAGAATAACCTCATTCTATCTGCGGCATTACCTTATTATCTCTTGGAATGTCCACATAAATTATTTTTTTTTTGTGTAGCATTTTTTGGAAAGCAATAATGTAAATTATTTATTTATTTTTTATTCAAGTGTACAAAGATCACACACAACGGAATGGAAATTAATTGACAATAAGCAAACGGCTCGATGCTGATAGTGATGCAATAAGTCAATAAGTACATTTAAGGCATACATTTTTGTTGTAATATCGCCTCCAGTGCAAAAGAACAAGATCCTTAATATGTAGCTTGGTATGCTGCTGTCTGTACATAATTAAATTGATATAAATTTTTGTCCACATGTGACATAATTATACCACCACACTGCACTGATAAGATAAGAGCTTTTTTATACTAATTTCAATGTTTGTTATCTCTAAACTTCGACTGAATTACTTGAATCCAAAGTCATGAAATAAATTTTTAAAAAAGCGGCTACCTGCATGCTTTATTATGCCTCTATTATAACACCAAAAGAGAAGTTAAGTGAATGGGGTCTCAGTGTTTTTTGTTCCAAAAGCTCCTAAATGTTCGTTTTTTTGTGTGTTAGTAGCAGTAGAGTTAGTAGTCATCCAGGGAAGTATCCATTTCTGCCGCCAAACACTAATGTGAACATTACTGTGCTCCGTTTATGAAGAGTAACGGTGCTGTTGAAATAACATGCACAGGGCCTTGTCAACTTTTGTCTCAGGATGACGGGCGCAGTGGCAGTGCCCTTGACATCTTTGCGTTTTAAAGCTCTTTAAGTGGCACTGCAACTGTTATGGACAGGCGTGTCAGTCTTTTTTACATCAAATTTCCTATTATAATAAATGAGTACAAACAATAGATTTGTATTGAAAGTTTAGTTCGCAACAAAGAAACATTGTTGATAAATGCATACCTGAGTTCTGACCTGGCCATGACCTAGACCTAATATAGGCCATAACATTATATCAGTAAATGTAATCTAAGTTAATGTAGCTTGATATTTGACCAGTTGATAAAGCAATGGACTTTATAAATAATTGTTTTATAAACACCAGTATGGATAGCATGACAGAGCGCGACTTGTACGAGAGCGACATAAAGCGAGCGTGAGATACTGCTATTTTTAAAGTGGCACTTCCCATGGCTGTTTGTAGTCGCTATTCGGTGTTTAACGTACTTGGAAAAATATTTGATGTACAGAAAAACATGAAGACACTGATAAATATGACCGTCTACACATGGAGTCAAAATAATGAATATGAACATAGTGTGGGCGGTTTTCTTGCTTATTTGGCTCCTTTGATGTGTGTTGAGAAACAGACCATCGCGCGGTGACGCGAGGTTGGTCTTCGCTGTATTTGTCGAATAGGCAAACAAGGCAAATGCTTTGTCACACTTTCTCTCTACACATGGTGATTGTTTGCCAAATATATCAAATACGAAAATACAAATAGCCATGTGAAGTGCCTCCTCATAACCTCGAAAGTAACTGAGACGAAAATGGTTTTTCTTTCAAACCTAACTTAACCGAACCTAATCGTGTCTTTGCGATAAACATTCAACATTTCCTGAAAGAACAACTATTTCGTTATAATTCGGTTTTCAACTTCTCTTTTTATCAACTTTCAACAAACGTTATTTCGTTAAAAAAAATTTTTGCGATTGTGATGGTTACCGGCGCACTGCCACTGCGCCCGTCACCCTGAGACATAAGTTGACAAGTCCTATGTGCCTGTAATTTCACCAGTACCCTTACCCTTCAAAACCGAAACACAGTAATGCTGACAGTATGCTTGGCGGCAGAAATAGATAAGGTGGCTGTACTTCCCTGGATGAACTCTTTCACAAGGAGCTCTAGTGGTACTAAACGTAGCAGTAGAGCTCAGCTCTGTTATGGATATTGCTAGGGTTCGCACGAAGCGTTTTGCTCCCACATTCATGTGGCGAACGGCTATGGAGTGGAAATTGGGCCTCTTCAAGTCGAGAGTGGATAGGTTTTATTTAGATGGTCATGCTACAACGTCGATCTCATCGTTACTTTCCGTCAGATGAGATGGAGGTCAAACGAGCACTTATTTTTTTATTATAGACATATGATTACAAAAAATCCCTCAAATTCTATATCACAATGTAGATTGAGTCGTCGCGTTATAGAAATAATAAGTCCATTTCAGAGACCACTTAACATGCTCGACAAACACAATGGCCTTCGTCTAGTTTTAATTATTTTTTTATATATTTAAATTTCGCTATGAACTTGAACCGCGCTGTTTATTACGGATGTTAATTGGTAAAGATAACACAGTAAAACCACATCGTTTTCCTGCATTTAATGTAAAAAACTAAACAAAAATTTGCAAATTAATAATGGCATGTATTTAAATGATCGTTTTAAATTTGTACAAGGCAAACAAATGTAAACAGCCATCTTTTTTAATGATTGGTCCTATTTCACTGAGACTTAAAAAAATAAATTATATTTGACAAGCCCCATGTGCGGGGTAACCTATCACAAACTCACATCCCACAATTTTTTGGGCAGAAGTTTGTTTAGTCTGATCATGTTTGTTATACTGTCTGTTTTCCATATAATTTAGATTGCTGAAAATTCATTTCAACAAAATTATTGTTCTTAGATAAAATTGTACCGCCATACAATTTTACCGTACAGCTCCAAAATTCTGGACTGTACTTTGCTGGTGCACAGCAAATCCACTTATGTAATTTTCGTCATACCATTGCGCTATGTTTTTGCGGCCATTGCGGCCGGCGAGCGCTAAAGCCTAATATGTTTGCATTACCTAGACGGTACCATCCCCTCCTGTGCGTTTAGGTTAGGATAGTATATGAAATAGCAGCACGATCCGAACGAGCGAAGCGAGTCGATACAAGTCGATCAAATTAACTTGCATCTCGTTTACCATATTTTCTAAAGATGCGAGGTGCTTTAATTTGACGCCTTATATTTTGCGACACGTTCTAATACTTTTAATATCTGTAATAAGAAATAATATAACAAAAATGTATTATGGATATCGTTGTTTTACAAAATAAAGATATTCAATGAGATACATCGGTGAAACGGTTTATTGGGGAAATAAAAATCGGGAAAAGAATAACTTGTCAGTATGTCAAAATAGTAAAACATTAAATGGTGTAATGAAAAAAACCGTAAGGTGTTTTCGGACAAATGAAACAAAATCTATTCAATAAAAATCTAAAGGTTTTCGGAGAAACAAAATTCTATAAATCATGTTTCTAGCTTGTGATAGATAACCCCCATGTGCCTATAATTTCACCAGCACCCTTGCCCATCAAAACCGGAACACAATAACGCTGACATTACTACTAAGCGGCAGAAATAAGGCAGTACTTCCCTGGACCAACTACCTTTAGTAGGAGTACCTCTCGCCAACCAACCTCTGGCCAAGGTCGTACTGCGTAATTCTACTGGTAGTACCAAGGGCAAGGTTTTTGTCCGTGGTTCTACCAGTAGGACTAACTAGAAAAATGGCATAATATAATAAGTAAGACAAGTAATTCAACTTCTGCCTGTTCGGCACGCTATTTATTGCCTACTATACATTGTTCAACCATTTATTTTACTTTTGGCTTAAGCACGACTATGAAGTTCAATAATTGTATTAATAACCGTAGACAAAAAAATACTGCATAGACGCTGTTTTTTCTTTACTGTAGTGAAGTGACGTTCACTTTAGCTCCCATATATTTATCGAGCCGACTGATTATTCCTGATTCCCGGGAATCGAACCCGGGACCTCTGCGTGGCAGACCAGCATTATAGCCGTTCGGCCACGGAGGCGTTTAATTGTTTATTATAATTTAAAAATAACTTAATTAAATTTTTATTGAATTGATATTCAATGATTTTTTTGTGAAATTACTCCACTATCTAGTTTGTTATAATTACCGAATCCGACCGGATCGAAGGAATTTTTTCTGAGTGTTTTTTCTGAGTGTTCGATCTTTGTATTAATAATTATTAAAAATAACTTTTTAATAAGAAAAACCGACAAAAGTTCGTGGAATTACATCTATTTACCAAGTTTATTGAAATCGGTTACCGGAAAGTGCGCGAAACCGGATTCATACCCTAG